ATGAAATGGAAGCAATGTGGGGAAAAAAAGGTGATTATTGAAGGAGACTGCAAAAGCCAATACCCAGCAGCTGTATATTCCCCCTTAGAACAAGGAGCGAGACCAGATCAATACCTCTCTCTCTTTCTTTTACGTCTCTCCCCTCCCTCTGCTCATCACCCGAGGCTGGAGGGGAACTGCACAGCTACAGGAGACATTTATTACAGGCCTGCTTGGTGGCTCTGTGGGACACAGCCCAGCAACTCTTGGTTCTGCTTGTTAGCAGGCCTCGTGTAGATGTAACAGGGGCTTTATGTCAGCATTGGACTACGTGACATCACTTCCCAATGGACCAATGATGGTGGTTTTTGACAAAGTAGCAGCGATTTCACCAGCACTGTGAGGATGATTGTTTCGTCAAAGTACATTTATGTTCAGAGTTCTGTCCTCATTTGTTCGATTTTAAACCTCTGTGTAAAAAGGATCTGAAAATATTTCTTTCTTTTTTTTGAAGAGACTTGCAAGGAAATAGATTTTTTTCACAATTTGCCCTCCTCTCTTCAACTTGACTTAATGAACTTGGTGCTTGAATGGAGTCACTACGAGTGCTGCAGGAATGACATGTTTTTGATGGCCAAACCAGGAAGTTATCATCACACTGGTTCTGTCGACAAATATCTAAAGGGATTGTTTCATTGGATTTTGGATAATTTAAAAAAATAAGCTCTGTGAAGAGAATTTTGAAGAGTTAAAGCAATCTACAAAAGTAAAAAGCTTATGTTATGCTATAAACTAACTACACCACGCTCTCATGAGCGCGAGTATGCACAACGAGGCTCGGTAGGACCAGTGGGTGTGATCACGTGTTGTGGTCTCATTTAGCTGTTAGCAACTGCTTTTTTTAAGACATGTAAAAGCCTCAAAATTGACGTGTGGAGCATTGACTGACATGTTTTATATTGTTTTCAAGACTAAGTAAAAGACAATTTCATGGCTGTTAATCACAATGATCTTGAAAACTGATGTAAGCTACTGAATTTTGTAATGGATTAATGCTCTGTGGCTTGTGTTTAATTGATTTCAGCTGTTTTATTATCAACAGAATGTAGCTTTTTAATGCAATCAAATGGCAAAAGTCTTCATTGCACTGAAAATTACAGTGTAATAGATAGAAATAAAACAATACAATGCCTAATTTCACACCCTTGCCCGGAAACAGGCATGTCAAGCTTGTTCGTCGTGTTTTTATTAGTTCAGCAGGAGTGACCTGAGCATCAAAAACATCTCTACCTTGACAGCTGAAAATGAGATGCATATAGCCTAAAGGATGCTATACATGTTTTTTTACCACTGGGCTTTTTCCCCTGTCAGAGCAAGAAACAACATTACATAACTGCAAGATACTTGGAAAGTCTCAAACATCTTCCAACAATGAACATTATTCAAAGCTGCAGCCTCGATAACATTTGTGCTTGTTTATTGTTTGTCGTCTGGCTTAGATTTTCCTGCACAATAACATGTGACAGCCACATTGTATAGGAGCCAATTCAGAAGTCCCAGATCTAGTATAGGACTACTCGACTGTATAAAATAATTTGGTGGTTTGATCATCAGAACATTTCAATTTCAAGTCATTAAATTGTTTTTGTGGTAGAGGTCTGAGTCAGCAAATACTGTATCTTCAGATTTATCAATTGGACATTGTTCATCTGATTACCCTTTTATATAATGAGTCACACTTTTGTGTTTTAAATTTGTTTTAATCTCTGAATCAGGACACCAAACCACATTCATCTATCTCCAGATGCCACTTTTCATGGAGTGTTTGGGAGAGGGTGTTATGAGAGAGTTGATAATGACCAAATTTACAAAATAACAACTGTGTTGGGCTGTAATATCTGAAATGGGCATGCTCTCAATGTTACTGTGTTAAATTAGATTAAAGTTGCAACTAACTAGACGCCCCCCTGAATCCTATGGTGGGACAGTTTGAGGACAGAGAAGGTGAAATGAAAACCAGAATTATCAGAGAAAAATAAACAGATGTAGAGTCAGTTAATCCTCACTTAGCATTCAGCAGCTAGAGAGCCAGATATAAAAGGAGCATGAATATTTGACAAGGTGGCCAGAAACAGGACTCAATAAGCAACTCTATGCTAACAAGTTTGGCATATTCTCATAAACGATTATATCATGTCAACGATTCATTTCAGTCTTGTTGCTCAGCGCTTTCTCGTTGATATGTTTTACATCTTAACATGCAAAATAAAGTGTTGAAGTAAGATGCGTTTTGTAATGTGCTCCATAAATGTAAAGGCGAAATCTCACCATCCATAATGTTTGATGGTGATTGTGGTTATAGATCACCTCCATACAACAATCAACCAATTGCATGCATGAATTATTACCCTCCAAAGGACCCTTACATGACCAGAATACACAAGCAACTGTAAGGTCACTCTCCACCATTACATAAGCGCACCACAACTGCAACCAATATTGCCCTTACGTATGAGATCCTTTGAGGTTTGATGATGCATGTGCTGCACATGTAGCTGCTGGTGAGAGAGACGAAACGCTCCTGTCACTCAGTAAATGTGCAAGATTCTCCGAGATAATTCCCACAGCCAGTTATTGCTTCCCTAAGGTGCGTGTGAGTGTGAAGCAGAGACATATTTGCAGCCCAAGGATTCATTCACCTTGTAATTATGCAAGAGCCTGCTGGCCACCATCACACTAACAGACAGACGGGCAGATGCACTGAACCTGTGATAGAAATACGAATGTTATTTCTTTCTCATCTTGCCCCTGCGATGCTCAGCACTTGACAGGGTTTTCAGTGGTGCGGTGGAGGGGTGGGTGGGTGGTTTAGCACGTTTATGCGTGTGTCAGCGTGTGTTGGCGTGTCAGTGTGTAGGTGTGTGTCAGTTTGTCAGCAGTGGCGCCTACAGGACGTGAACACGTGGGGCTACAGTCAGCTCGGGTGGATGAATTGCAGCGGGCCGCGCCGTTGTAAAACGCTGGTGTGTTTGTCAGCGCACCGCTGTGACCGTCCAGGAGCTCTGACTCAGATAAGTGGCTCTCGCACTGTAGAGGGTGTATGGGAGGTCAGAGAGACGGAAGAAGTGGCAAACCAACGCAGTGGAATGAAAATGTGTGCGGTTAACGTTCCACATTCAGCTCCCAGGCAAGATTTCATGCTTGCTGTGGGAGAGGGCTCTTACCATTGACTGATCAGTGAGTCACTCCACTGTGATACAGACAGCATCTGTTGGAGTGAATTTAATGCAGCATGGATTTCTGCTGTGTGAATTATGAGTTTCCATAACCTTGATGCAATATGACTGTCTGTTCATAGTGAGCTTTGAGAATGAGTAGGCCTGTGATAGAAGAAGATGACACGGTTGCCTTAAAATATCTTTGTTTCCCTCATTCGCTCATCATTGTGTTTTTTGTCTGTCTGACACTTAGCCCGGTCTACCATGTTTCTCTCTTATGGCAGAGATATACAGTGGATGACAAGAACAAATTAAGGGCTATGTTAAGATGAATTGTAGTGGTTGCATTAACTGTAAGGCATATTGACTCAGAGATTTAGCTTCATTCCAGGCAAGTGAGGAATGACCATGGCAGCTTCAAAACCTTACCCAAAACAACGAGATCGGAAATATGAGACGAAAATATTCATAGTTAGTAAATAATAACAGGACAGTTAAGCGAGGGTTTTTCAGATTGAATTCAGCATTTATTTATCTCTGCTCGTATCTCGATGCCACTGAAATACGTCTATGAAATATTTGCTCTTGGCCCAGAATTCTTCAATTTTTCGTGGGCATTAGGGGAGATTTATTGTTCCCCGTGGTTAGAAAGGAAAGGGATCACAGTTTATCCCACCGTTAGTGGATACGAGAGGATGGCGAAGAACCAAAAAAAGGATTTGTTGAAATGAGTGTTCATTTCCTGCTTTGAGACAAATAGCGCTCCCTTAAATATAACGCTCATTTACATACGTGAGTCACAAAATTGCTCTCCTATGCATTGTCAGCGCAGTTTAGCTGCAGGCCGTACATCACCGTGGTGCTTTATATCGGGCCTCAGGTTGTCTGGTCGCCTGCTGTGGTGGAACAGTTCATGCATTAAACCAAATCGGTCGTCCTTTTCAGTGAGAATAGTCTGTCATTTTGTCTGTTTGTCTTTTCATTTTCATCATGTCTCCATTGTTCTTATGTGTTCAGTGGCAGTGTGATAGAGACAGTAAATCAAAGGAAAACTGTCTCAGCATATATATTGTTCATTGTTTGCTTTTAATATCAAATCATATTTCTATCATGCAGTGGGATTGTTTTAATGCACATCTATTTGATTTATTAAAACTAGACATATTAATTTGGAAATGCAATTTAAGACAATACAATGTGTATGTGTGTGCCCCCCCCCCCCAAACCCAAATAGTGTCCTTTGTGCACTGGTGCTCCACCTGGTGGCTTTCTGTGTAAAGCAATTTACATGAGAACTCACTGTAGGAGACAATGGCTCTGTTCTCCACATTAACTGGCTGTTATGCTGCCTTTGTGAAATGCGCCACACTGCAGAGACTGTCTATAAAAGTTGTTTTAGCTAAATTCCTGTACTGATATTTCAAGGACACACAGAGAAAAACATCTCTGAAGGGCTCTGACTCTAATGTTCTCATTAGCTTTAAGTATTGATGTGGAGAACTCCCCCTCTCAGCCTTTATATTGTACACAAATGGCTGTTTAACTGTTAACTATACTCTCTATAAAGGGATGAACTGGCTAGTCTTTTTTAAACATTCCTGAGAGAATCTGCCAATAAACTAGAATGAAAACTGTTTGATTAGAGAAAATAGCGTTAAAGTGTTGTGAATTTAAAAGTAGTATTTTAATGTACTTCCACACAACTATCCGAATGCATTACTAAATAGCATTACCAATCAGAGCTATTTCTTAACAATAACTTCGATGTTTAACAGATCGCTTCTGTGTCTCTTCACATTGCAGGATGAGCCCTTCAGGTCCGTAAACCCGTACTGATTGGAGACATGTTCTAACGACGACATCTCAGCCACCATGAAAGGGTTAGGAGCCAACCGCAGTCGTCACATGTCTGACTCGTGTGAACCTGCGAGATGCCCACAGAAGCCGCTCTATCCTTTGACCTCTGACCCCCACAGCTCCTTTCTGTTGAGCCCCACCATAAACCACTATGGCACACTGGACCCCCATCTCCATCTGTGCACTCCCACCAGCCCCACCAACCTGACCCCTGACTGCCTGCTGCCTTTCAGCCAGTTGTCCAACAGCAGCACTTTCCCTCGTCTGCACTTCACCTCCCAGACTGAGCAGGTTGACTGCTCCCAGGCCTGCATGGCTGGTGGTGGCGGACTCGGGCAGGGTGGCAGAACAGGTGCACTGTCCAACTCCTTGTCTATGGGCATGGGCTTAGGTCTGGGCCTAACTGGTGCTCCGATGATCACCAGTGGATCAGCCACTATCTCCTCTGCAGCAGCAGCCAAGATGAATCGGTTACCCTCCAACCTTTTGGATCAGCTAGAGAGGCACCTGCCCCTGCAGCGCGACGGCTTCAGCACGCTGCAGTTTCATAGGGGACGTATGTCGAAGCAACGCAGTGAGAGCCCAGGACGCATACGCCACCTGATGCACTCTGTGCAGAAACTATTTGCCAAGTCCCAGTCCCTGGAAAACTCTGCAATCAAAGGCAACATGAACGGACGCTCTGCTGGAGGAACAGCCGGCACCACGGGTGCTGGTGAGGATGGAGGTAGACCAACACGCAGGAGCAAGAGTAAAGACAGGGCTAAAACTGAGGGGCCAAAGCAGAGACCTAGGCCCAATGCACTAGGCTTCTGGAGCTCAGATGATGCCCTGGACACTGACACAACCAAAGCTGGCACTATTGCTGTAGGTTACCGCAACCCTCTGACCATGATGTCTCTAGGCAGAGCGGTGTCAGACAGCCAGGCCGCTCCCAGGCATATCCCACAGGGCTACCACACCATTTCTGCACATACTCTCAAGACCTCGAAAAGCAGCAGTGACCTCAAGTTTCTGGCATGCCAGGCGACACAGGTAGTATCCAAGGACGAGGAGGGAAGAATCAGGGGAAGCAAGGATGATATACTGGTGAAGAGGGGCTCCTGGTCCACTCTCACCCTCAGCCAGGCCAGGCAAGTGTTGCAGAAGGGCTCTGCTACAGTTAACAGGACCCTGCTTAAATCCAAGTCATGCCACCAAGACCTGGCACAACAGTTCCTTCAGGTAGGAGGGCCAGTGAGTATTCATCTTCATCATCATTCTTTGTAAGTTTGCATGGATATTTATATAATTTCTCTCAGGTTTGTTGATTTTATTGAACAGTTTTGTCTGATAAATTGATTAGATTGACCCTTATTTTGTTTATTATACATAAGATAAGTCACATTTATAGATTTTTCATGACATTCATCACAGACATATTATCTTTTTCAAGTACCATTGCTACACAACCCCAGAATCAAACTGTGAATATGGGTTAAAGACAAAGACACAAATCATGAAATACATACAGTGTCTAAGAGTCACACCTGAGATGACTGCAATGCATGGTTTGAGAGTCCCACCACAGTATGTCTGTCTCTCCATGATCCAGGTCCCACTGGGAGACTGGGCAGGAACTCTGGGTCGCGGCCGGGGCAGAGGAACTGAGATCCCGTGTCGAAGGATGCGCAGTGGCAGCTACGTTAAAGCTATGGGAGACTTAGAGGACAGCGAGGACTCAGAGGGAAGCCCCAAACATTCCCCCAAAGCCACCGCCCGACGCCAGAGCTACCTGAGGGCCACCCAGCACTCCCTGAGTGAGCAGCAGCCGCCTCCACCACCTCAACGCAAGTGAGTCCCACGGCAGAGAGTATCAAATTCGTCATATTAAAATTATAACCTTGATTATCATGCTCACTGTTTTGCCATAGTTGTGTTTGTGCTCTTTTACCTTACATTCATTAAAATAGAAATAAGCACGGAAGGTGTGTTTGTTGTGAACATTCTTCTCATGTCCCCAAAGGTAGTCAGCAGGTGGCAGCATCCTGTCACAAATAATTATCTGGATGTGCAGCAGCACTGAGTCAAAATAAAGCTGATTGAAGCTATTCATGGAGGTAGAGATGTGTATCAATGAAGGGGGATAAGAAATGACCAACAGGATCATCTTGTACAAATGCAGTGGGAGATGAAATTTGTGCCATGTGTTTTACCCCTACATCCACACCGACAGGCCTCGTTGCTACGCTCTCATGCGGGAGGATTATCTGTGGTCTCCACTACAGAGTGCATGCTCTATGCAGCATCTGAGGTCAGTGTCATCCATAGGCAGGCAGTGTGGCCCTCCACCCACCCTCACTTGCCCTACCACCACTACCCACCACCTCGTTTTGGCTAACCTCTCCCAGTGCTTTCCCTCTCTGCCCCCTGTTCCATCACTTACCTTGCAGGTGCCCTGAGTGGTGTGTTAGTACTGTACTCTTGCCTGCTTCCTCGAGCCCTGATGTCATAACATGCAAATTTCCCATGGAAATCACTCAACCGCACCCTGCTGCTTATGCACACACATTTTCACTAACACCAGGTGCCAAAAGGGCCAGAACAGAGGAAACTTTGCACTTCCTAGATCAATCATAAAGGCAATTTCATATTCATCAGTTTTACTCATGAATCATTGTTTCCTCTGCGCTGCTATTTTAAAACCGAGCACATATCAATTTCCGCACATCCCAATAGTATTTCATTCTAAAATACCCAGGGGAACTTTTCGGAGTGTGATTTAAAGTTTCTCCTGGATATCATCAATTAAACACAGCCCTCACTTATTCCGCTCTCTGACTTCTGAGAGGCTGATAATTACATTCACTTCCACAGCTCCCTGCCATCCTTGAAAGAGCTGTCGACTAATCGGAGCCTCGATAACTTAGATTGCCTGGTGAGCCCGCTGGAGGCCCCTCCACGCTACAGGAACAATGATTTCAGCCAATGCTCTGCTACACTGGGCAGAGGCTCGGCCGCTCAGGTATGTCTCTTATCTTATCAAATGTGTTGCTATTACTGTAGTCCCTCGCATGATTATTACTTGGCTGGCAAAGACTATTTCCTCCTGTGTGTCTGTTTAACTCCGGTGTTGCAGTTTAGTGACAGCAACATTGAATGTATTTTTCCAGGGTATAACAGACATATTCATATACCTTATGATATTTCAGATCTCTTACAATCAGCTAATTAGATCATTTTAGATCATCGACTCCAGTGACCCATTAATTAAAAGAAGAAGAAAATTATCAGTGAATGAGCAAAAAATACATTAACACACCTCTCCAATTTTGAATCTGCCGCAAGAGAATATTTAAGTGAATGTAATGTCTATTGAGACATTCTATGAAAGAGCCAGCCGGGAATAATCTGGTGGAATAGAAGAGACGCTTGAGAGTGTTTGCAGAATGTCAAAGTGGGACATATGTTTCTGCGTAGAGCTGAGGGAACTTGTTGTATGTCTTCATCAGCAGGATTGGCGTGGGATGCAGAAATCCCTCACCAGACTAATGCACACATCTTTTTTTTTTTTTACCAAGAAGCAAAGGCACCCGTCTCAACCTGTACATGGGAGCTTTTAATCCAATAATCATCAGGATCATTTTACTGAGATTTTCACTGTCTTACAAGATGACAGTGAAGTTAATCAGGGTAAATAATTTGTGGATGCTAAACTACAACATTTCTCGTGACTTGATTTTGAGGGATTGTTCATCATGTTTATGCACCACGCACAACACGTTCACATTTGCTACCGAAAATGCCAAGCGTAAAAATAATTTTACTGGCTGTTTCTACTTCTTTTTATGTTGCTTGATCAAACATTTCAGATGGTGCCGGCTGTCATCACTTATTCCCATGATGCAATGACGAATCCTTGCAGCAAAGACATACTGAAACAAAGCTATTTTGAGTACAATGCAGAAAAACATTCATACTGTCCCTACACCAAGAACAAAATAGAATCATACTTGTATTAGCTTTTAACTGAAAAGCAAAATAAGTCATCACCCCACCAATACATAACTCATAGTTGAAACTCCAAGGGGACATGCATCTTGATTGACAAGTATAGGTAAGCCAGTGGTAACTAAGTACATTTACTCAAGTTAAATATAAGTACTCAAAAGTCCAAATGTTTTGTATCTGAATCGTACTGGTTTGCTTTTATAGTCTGAGTAGTATTGACCAATCACAGTTGTGCAGGCTTTGGTTGCATGCAGGGAGAGCAAAAGAGGCGAAAATGCTTCATGGGAACCCACCCGGTCTTTTTATTGGTTTATAATTAGTTTGTAAACTTCATAGCTACTTGGGAAACAACCTGGTCGTACACGTCATCCCTCAACTCTAACTCCAGTCTTGCATCTCAAGTTGCTAATCAGACTGTTAACAATGAGCAGCGCACAGAAAAGGAAGTCTTGGCCCAGATATCTGCTGGCTACACCGGAACCCTAGAAATACAGCCATTTGCCTCCATGGGCTTATCATTGTCATAATTGCAAATGAGTATTTTTTGCACTGTTGTATTGGCCCTTTTACTCACGTAAAAGGTGTGAATACTTCTTCCACTCAATGCATGTTTCTCAGTCTGCCCTCTGCCCTCAGCGTGTGAGTCTGCACACGTTCTTTCAGGTATACGGGCAGGGCTGCGGGCACTCACTTCCGTACTGTGAGGGGGAATCGCAGGCCGTGGAGGCTCTGGATTTGCCTGCGCCCACGTGCTTCCGGTCGCGCAGCCACAGCTACCTGCGTGCCATCCAGGCGGGCTGCTCCCAGGATGAAGACACCTCTGTGGACTCGGACTCACCGCCGCCCACCACTGCTGCAGGCTACAGTTACAGCTCCAACACCAGTGAGTACCAGTGAGGACAAGGTGGGACAAAGCAGCTGAGGATAATCTTTGATTTAAACAAAAATAAATAAAAAGTATAAGCAGAAAGGGAAGACTTATTTGCCATTAAATATAATCCACTCATCTATTTACTCTGCTTCATAATAGCCAAATGTACATTTTGGAGGAATTTTTAAATTGTCCCCTGAAGGAAGGACAATTCATGAAATCCAACAAATAAACCAGAATTTAAAACATTTTCTTTTACTTCATATGTTTATAGAAAATATAAAGAGCACACATCTAAACAGTGTAGTATACTTCTGTCTTCACTATAGGTGCAGTTATTTCCCCTCGAGGATGTAATTGGTATATCAGATTAGTATCATTTGTTGTGGTTCATCTCTGGGTTTAAAGAAAGCTCTGGAAAACACAATGACACATGAGATGTAGAGAGTAGCAGAACATGTTTTTGTGCAATGTTGGTATTAAAACAATTACATTTCAGTCTGAATAAGGATGTTTGGTTACGAGGTGCTTTGGATCTATCAGTAAAAGTCTGTGACAACATGTTCATACAGCAACAGGGATGCAGAGCGGAGCAACAACGGCACTCTTCTGATTCGATGAGTGAAAAACAGAAAAGCAAGACATTTTCCATGTGATCATATTTATTGTGAACAGTAGGAGTTAAAAGTTTGACTGCACAACATTTGTGTATCGTTATTCAGTGTATGCTTAATATATTTCAAACCATCCGTCCTTTTCAAATGATAAGCGTTCGCTTTTCAACACTCGGTCTGCAATAATGTCTCCAATGAGCATCTCTATATTGTAGATTACATGAAATGCTGTGTTTGTCGAAAATAATGATGTGAACAGTCACACAAATGCTACAACATGAAATGAATCATATTTTCATTGTTTTGGATTCAAAAGAAACTTAAGGGACTTAAGGGACCTTAATATTTTTGGTCTAGCGTCAATACACAATGATCACTCAAAGCAGCGCCGAGCCGAGCTGCCCTCCTCAAGTTATATTTATTGTTTTTTGTGTTGAAGTGAAGTGACAATCATTTGGACTTAGAAGTATCCATGTGGAGGTATTGAATGATTGAATTATGGCATTTTATATGAAATACAAAAATATGTTTAATATTCTTCTTCAGCTCTTTTTTTCTGACAGAAAATAAATGAATTAATGACATGGCCTGAAACTTAAGGATTTATCTCAAAATAAAACAAAATATTTTGTCCTATTAGTATCATCGTAAGCACATTAAAGATTACCAAAATGACCATACAAACCAATAATATGGACACTAGTAATCCTTCACGGGTACCTATATGATAAATAACAACTCTAGACATAGTGTCTAAATGCATTGCAAATTCATATTTTAAAATGCTTTGGACTTATGCCTCACACAATGCACATTCACTGTTACCACAATCTATTGATACTGACCATTATTTTCAGTTATTTGCTATAAAGGCTTTATGTACTGGTTCCATATTTTAAAAAAAGTTAAATTATTAATAATATGATCTACTTGAAGGAAGTATATCAATGTTAATGGGCTTATCCGATTTACAATTATGTTTATCTGATTTTGTGGAACACAAGAGGTATTTGTTTTTGTCTTGATTGTCAAAAATACCGTTTTTAATATGCTCGCCTTTACAAAAAGACGGGAGAGGGGGAAAAAGGAAACGCCTTAATTTACATATATCTCCATTGTTTCGGAGAAAGACGGTCACAGCGCATCTAGTATGAGCTTTATGTCGAAGACTATTGAGTACTTTCCCGCGCCGCCAGGGACCAAAATGAAACGCACCAATCAGCGAAGACAGTCAAAATTAACGTCACACAGAGATGTCAACCAATCACGTTCGTGTCCGGTTACATCGAGGATCAGAACTGACCAATCGATCGAAGAGAACCGTTACGGGAGGAAACGTGGACTCCAATCCTCGTCGTCAAGGGCGTGTACTACAAATCTTTTCTTCTGTGTGTCTTACGGGCAGGACACCGTATAGCCTCGTCTGCATCTTGTCTGCATTTCATGAATGACCAGAAAATAAGGATTTTACCAGTCTACCACCATACAGTAAGATTTTGTCGCTTTTTTCTCCTGACTGAGCGTCAATCTTAAAACTGTCAATTGTTTCTCGGTACGCTATAGCATCGGCAAGCTAACGTGAGCTAACGTTGATGGTGTGGTAGGGTTAGCTATAAAGCTAACGTGGATGAAGAAAGAGGATGAAACACTATAATGCGAGTCGTTAGCAAGCAAGCAAGCAAGCAAGCGAGGCAGGTAGACAGTGATGTGGTCGGTGGTGTTACATTGATGGTAACGAGGTAGCAGCTGCTCTTTGTTTGCTCTCTTCCATCACCATCATGTTAATGCCTCCGGCTAACGTTAAATGTGTGATATCCCACCGTTGCGAGCGTTAACTGGCTAGTAGCACGAGCTAACAGTAGCTGAGGCGTCAACGGCTAGTTAGGGTAACCAAACCGTCCACGTCTGCTATAGCGGATAGCTAACATTGGCTAATGCAGTGTGTAATGAAAGCGATGGTACTCTACTAAATGATGTGAGTTTGATGTTTTAAGTTGTAACCTAATGATCATTCATTTAACCCATATCACATCCTGTGAAATCACGTTGTTTTAACTCGGGACAGATGGAGTATTTAGTTTTTTACAGGTGATCTTTTTGGATTAACATTAGCTGTCAAATGAGGTAAAGTAATGTTAAACGATACTTCTCTCTTATACCCCAGACTCAACATGTGACAGTGATCTGAGCTCAGAGGCATGGAGGATCAGTGAATCACGTTTAGCTTATCAGTCCATCTACAAGTCAAAACTGACTGCTCTGTCTCTCTCTATTTTAAACACGTTTTTACCGATGGAAGATACTATTAAGTTGTCTCCAACTGTGTTTTAAAGACGTGGCATGCATAGGTTTCTAGACACTTAATTGATATATCTTCTAAAAAACGATTCTATCTCAATTGCCAGGACTGCAGTGGGTATTTCTGGTCCACAGTTCTGTGCCATTTTTATTCAGTAGCTAGCTTCCATGTGTTAAGACCTGCGGACACAATCAATAATTGATGAGCTTCCTGCCTTGTGCAGTGCTTTGCAGTTAGGACACTTCACTGGGCTTTTATGAAGACCACCTGACAATAGAAGGATGTGCACACAAAAGAAGTATAACATTACCTTGCATTGTCTCTTTTCCATGCATACTAACTCTATTGGTTATTCGAATTCAGCTCATCTAGTTGGAACTCATGTTTAGTTTAGCCATTACGGAAACGCTGGCTTTGAGGTTTCATTGTGCCAACAAGGTGTGTTCATTGTCTCCAAGCCCTGGTGTGTCTGTGTATTACCTTGGATAGACAGTGAGTCATCCTCCACAGCGTTACATACTCTTTCTCTCACTCATTGATGAGGTAATCTCTTGACTGAATAGGCGAAGCCACTGTAGTTAGTTTCACAGTAAGGTCAACAGCAGACCAGCTTCCTGATGATGTGTGTGGAGCTCTTAGGCTACATCCACACTACTCCGTTTCTATTTGGAAGCAGATTTGTCAAATAGAAACAATCTCCGTCCACACGGGCGTTTCAGCATCATTTTCGAATTGATCTGCATCCACACGGCAACCTTCGAAGACGGACAGCACGTGACCATTAACGTACACTGGGCATGCGCGTGACGGTGTAAACAGGAAGTGGATTGGTTGCTTAGTTAAAAAAAAAATAAGAGAGTAATAAAGTAGTCTTTAATAATGAAAGGTTGTGTTTGATACTTAAGATCTTCCTCTAAAATAGTCCTCTATAAACTCAAACAGCCAATTCGTGGAAAGTTTTAGAAGTTTTATTTTTCAGACTCAGTTATGGCGCTGCGGGTCTTTCTCTATCTCTCTCTCTCTCACATCAAATTTACTTTAAAATCAACACTTGCACGTAAACGTTTACTAGATTATGGGTCCATAAATGTGGTCAGCACACGTCTCTCACTCGTCTCACTCTATTCTGCTCCTGCTTCGTGCAGGAAAGCCTAGCAGATCGCTAACAGTAGATCCGTGAAATAAAGACCATGGAATCCGTAGAAGAGTTTTAAGACTTTAGTGTGAATCTTTCTTATTTGTAAAACTGTGGAAACACAATATGAAATATGGCTTTACAAACTGTCCATATGAATACATACATGAATACAAAACAACAATCCATGCCATAGCCATCATGCAAGATGTCCGACTAGCTAGCTTCTAAGCTAATTTTAACATTACCGCCAACGGAGAAATGCTAACCGCAATTAGCATTTAATACAACACCAATGTTATACTAAAAGAGCAAATAGAATATATCTACGTACATCTTTTCATGCTTCATAAAGACATACTTACAGACTAAGGTCTCTCAAGGCTACAAAATGGAAGAAGTAAAACGTTAGTGCAGCGTGTCTTCTCATTAGAATCTAAAAACAACGAGGCACTAACTAGAGAGGGATAAATACAAGCATGAAAATGCAATGACATTCTACCACACAGAAATGTGGGGGCAGAACACACGTTTCCTCGGTGTTGTCTGTTCTCACTCGTAGCTCTGAATAGCATTTACCGCTAACTGTGGCTTCTGACGTCCGCTCCATTGGGCTGATGACGCCGTGTGTCACGCCACTCGCTAATCGCTTCAATAACAGCTGCTTCCTCCACAGAAATGCAGACTTTTACTACACAACAGCTGCTAGTACAGACAACAAAGCAAGCAACGCTTGAAATTCGTTATCCATGTTGAAATGAATCACTGGTAGTTTGTTTTCTTCCAGGTATGGGTCACGTGATAGTGAGTGTGACGAATCGGGGAAGGAGACGTCATGGCTGCTAAGAACCAATCCAGTAGCGATCACGGGTGTGGGCGTCATTTTTTTCTAAACGCATCAGTTTCCGACCGTCCACACTCAAACGCAACCCCGGAGTTTTCAAACACCTCCAACCTCGGGGGTGTTTTCAAACTCCTCCGTTTAGGGTGCTCCAAAACTCCAGCGTAGTGTGGCCGCTCAGTGTAAACGTAGCAAAACATATGTTTCCAAACGTAAGCAGAGTAATGTGGACAGGGCCTTAGTTAACATGGTTAGAGAGTGTAGCGCAGGCCTGTCCGTTTCCTGCACTAATGACATGCACTGATTAGAGAGCGGATTTATCAAACATCTATTTTGCACCTGGTAATGGTTTTGGCAGGCTTTTCAGTGGGGCACTGTACTTATTTAGAGCAGTGTGCTATTAAATGTCACAATGGTGAAAGATAAACTCTTTCCAATACACATTTCTGATCTTTTTTTTTGAACAGCATAGTCTCAATGTAAGTAAAAGTTGCTCGGGTACAATACTCTACCTTGAGAAAGCTCCCAGTGTCTCATTGTGAACAGTTTGACCTCGGAGGCACTTGCCACGTGTCTTTTCATCAGCTGATTAGGCTGAAACCCAGACCGTTGCTGCCTCAGTCCAGCAGATCAGACTAAGGACCAAAGGAGGATAAGGATATCAGACTATACAGCACATACGAATGCACAAACCAAGTCTCCAGAAGTGTAAAGTGTGGACTACATTCTTTGGTTTTTGTCTCAATTTGAATGGTTGTTCTCAAGCCAAGATGTTCTTATCTAATTCGTTTGGAATACTAGCCAGGGTGGAATGTAAAATGGTCGTACTTTAAATTGAATCATATGTGTTTGTCTTCCTGTTTTTGGTATTGTAGCTCTCTTGTTTTGTGTTGTTAGTGGTTTATTTTTCCCATGTCAGCATTGTCTGCTGAATGGCAGCCTGTCTGTCTGTCTGTCTCAACAGATAGCCTTCTCTGTCCGCTGTGACACTGATTTGCTGCCTCTCTACTCATAACCTGTTCCTCTTATTCATTTAGCTATTGTGGAAAATGGCACAGATTGAATATACGATGCATTTCGATTTTCACGATGACTCAAATTTGAATGAAAACCCAGATGCAGTCCTGGTGGGCAGCAGGAGATCTCCTGTCATTCACTGGCTTCATAGGAATTGGCTTTCGTTACAGGCGTACAGACTTTTGTTGTGATATCCCGGTTCCCCTATGTACTCTGACGATATTTGTAATGCCAGCAGTTTTCTCATGCATAAAGCACATATATGGTTTTCCCAGCTGACATGTGATTCCTGGGCTAAGGCTAAAATAGATCTATTTAGCGCAGGCCATCGTTCTGATTAGAAGTACAGTATTTAGCTGAATAGTGCGCCTTGTGTGCTTTAATCTGTTAGTCAGAAGTCATGGTCAGCCATGTGTCCTGGTTTAATCTTTCAGTCTACGGCTCCCACGGCCTGTCAGCCTGCCATATTCTTTTACAATGAGACTAATCCCGGACAGAGCTTCTGCTACCACCTCTTTTCATGATACTTGGCTCATATCCAGAGTTTCACAAAGGTTCATCGGCAATAAGCCACAATACTGTTAACAAGGCTGTGTTTGGAATTTGGTTTTGTGTGTACTGGCAACTCATGTTGAACTGCTTACTGTCTCCGCTCTCAAGGAAGTTCAGTCTGCAGCCTAGTTAACACACGTTGAAAATAGTCAACCCATGTATACTTTAATTTTAGCGTGCCATGGAGAGCCCGTTAGCGGTCATCTGATAGCAGACAGACCTGCTGATGGAGGCGGAACATATCCCGCCTGAGAGGCTGCATGGCTTTCATGAGTGATGCCGTGAACATCTGATGATCACAGCGATGTTGACAGGGTTGTAATTGAACCTAATTGTCAAAGTGAGAGGAAGCATTACATAAAGAGTGATTCACTGACACCTGCTGTCCATATAACACGTCAACTTGAAGATGTAAAGCAATGGGAGTTTTCTTTTGTTAGCGTAGCTGGCATGTTTGCGATTAGCAGGAAATAACCAACTTCATAGCTCTCTGTGTGTAAGAGGTGCATTGCAGCCTTATAAACACAGCAAATGTGACAGAGGCATGTGTTGAGACTTGAGGTTTAGCTGGACACGATAATTAACTTTGGGAATGTCATGCATCTGGGCTGTGAGTACTAAAAGAAGTGTCTCATTCTTTGAGAATAAAAGCTCCGTTGTTGGTTGGGTATGTACTCTTGAGACGAGAGGCCAGGGCTGCTAGAGATGCATGAACTACACGGAGCGGCTTCCACAGCAGTGTTTGTGTACGTTGGTGGGATTTAATGACGGCCTTACTGGTGCTGTGAGTCACCGGCGGATGACGGAAGTGCGGCGCCCTCACAATTACAGGGTGTCAGGTTGCTGTTTACATTGAAACCCCTACCGGAGAGAATAAACACTACATTTTCGTTATTGATTCAAAGCGGTGAGCCTTAAATTACTTTCTAGGTCAGCTTATTTCAAAGAAATATTCCGTCCATCATGTGTGTCAGTGAAGGCTGTAGTAGGGCAGACTGTTGACAGTCAGCCAGCTGTTTAAATACCATCTACACGACCGCCTCAACTCCTGATAAAAACCTGTGGTTTCTCATGTTGTATTGTACTTAACTCTGCATCGTCCACCACAATCCTGCAGTCAGACTGACAGAAAAGGAGGCAACCAGTCTCATTCCTTCTCCCTGAGTCAGATTGTCTTTGGCCTCGTTTCAGTTTCTGCTGAAAGAATTTGTGAATCCAAGGTTCATTTGTCCTTCGCTGTCAAAATGTCACGCTTATGTTAAGTAGTCTACCATGTGAGGGCTCTGCTCTGATTCATAATAATACAGTATGATTGTTAGTGAGTATTCATTTTGATTTGTTGAAAGAAAAGTCAAAAATCAGAGGAGCGGCTTGTCACTGTCATTAAAATGAGAGAAGCTGCTCCATCTTAAAGGTCCGCCCACCTTAAGTGAGCCTGAGCCACAGTTGACACTAACTTTCACTTAATTCAGCATTTATTGGGTCCTGGATTTAGCCTGCTACATGAATGCCGGATAATGGTACGACCGATTTTTCTTCGCTTCCCTAGAGTCAACAAGCGCAAGCGGATAGTCTACAGGAACAGCGTCACTCTGCCATTTCAGCTCAAATTGTGTGCGTTTCTGCTATAATAACTTATAAGTTCACCGCCAGCAAAAGTGATTCGAGGGCCACAGACAAAAGCTATCTTGTTTGTTTCATCCTTTCTCTTTACTCTCTCTATTAACTATAAATCGCACAAGTATTAATACCGCACAGTAAAAGTCCTGCATTCAAATGTTTACATGATGGCGAGGTATTATCAGCACAATGCCCTTAGATTTACTTCTGGTCTGTTCCAGGTGGAGCAGCTCCATTAATCACTACGAGTAACCCCTTTCACATGAATACATTCTTTTGATACGTGATTAAGAAATATACTGATTATGGCCTCATAAACTCCACCGTAACTCCTACAACAAATCCAGTCCTTGTGAATGTACTAATGGGGTAGATCACTGGCGAGATGTACACTTATCATTTATGAAATGCTGTGCAGGAAATTGGAGTTTGCAGCTGAATGTCACTGATTGGTCAAACAAAGTGAACGAGTTGAGAGCACAAGCGAATGAGAGAGAGGTGTTGGAGAGAGCCGGTGAATGAACGAGAGAGGGAGGGAGCAGTGATGAAGAGAAATAAAACTCTTTGCTAATAGTTTCATCAGTGTTACGTTCTAAAGCAGAAATAGACTATCAAGCACTCAGCAGATGATGATCTTTGAAGACGGGCATTGTGGAGTTTTCAATCTCCATCTCCACCTCTGCAAGTCTCCTTTTTATCGATTCATAACATCCACTTAGAGCTGCGCCCTAAACGTCGATGATTCTAATCATCAGTCGAGACGCCCGGTGGTGAATCTCATTTTGTCCGTCAAATCACTGCAATTTTTTTTTTTTTTTAGCTCCGTCATTGTGTGTATATATAGCAGCATGCTAGGCTATAAACTTTAATGAACTAAGTCGTGACTCAAAATTGCCTAACAACAAAAGTATGACCAGGAAGCACACCTTTTTTTGACTGTGGAAACGTGATGTTTTCAAAAATGTCAATACATCAGCAGCTCTACATCCACTGAAACATGCCACGCAACAGTAAAAACAAAAACCAACAGCATAACTTCTGTGTTATCGGGTTAGATGTGTTGGAGAAAACGGGAAAGTTCCATAGTTCCTGGAACTGTTTGGTCTAAAAGGGCGATGAAAAGGCAGAGTTGTCTTGTCTGACAGTCCCCAGAGCAGAAGGACTGAAGGTGTGGCATGCAAAGGTCCCCAGAGACAGACTGACGTCAATGGAACACAACCACCAGCGTGTTTACAGGAAGCATGAAGGTAGATGTAGGTACAGTCTGATAGAGGCAGCAATAAGGGCAAAGTGCAGGTTTGTTTTTCAGATAGGCAATGTTTATGGCAACACCTTTATTTTACCTTTTGCTTTCTCTCTGTCTGAAGTGACGAAGCGCAGGTTTTCTCATCCTAAGCTCTCTCGTCTCTTTCTCCATCTTCCGTCCGCAGTCGGCAGTAGGAAGGCTCCTCCCCCAGTCCCCCCCCGCACCACGTCCAAGCCCCTCATCTCCGTGACGGTGCAGAGCAGCACCGAGTCGGCCCAAGACGTATACACTGACCAGCAGGACCGTGGCAGTGAGGCCAACAGCCAGTCGGGACGCAGCAACTCCTCTGACAGTCTCTGTAGCATCCGCACGGGCAGTCTGGCTAAGGGGCCCCGACCTCTACCGGTCCCAGTCCCAGTGTTAGTCCCTGTTCTAATCCTGGGACCCGCTGCAGGCTCTGTGCATCCTGTTCCAGCCCCTCGTGACCTCCCTCCTCCCACCACCACCACCGCTGTCACCACCACTTCCACATCTACCCAGTCCCAACATGACACCCTGAGCTTTGGTTTCACCCTAGAGCCGGCCCCGACTGCAACCAAGAGGAAACTGTCCTCCATCGGAATCCAGGTAAGAATTGACTACTTTTTAGTTTGATACAATCGTAGAGGGAGGAAAGTAAAGCCAAAGTATTTGACTGGTTTTCTGTTGTCCATGATTTTTTTCAGGTGGATTGCATTCTGCCAGTCCTGAGAGAAGAACCACTACCCCTGCCTGCACCCCTTAAGTTTCAGTCCATCGGAGTTCAAGTAGAGAACGGCAGGCCGTAAGTGTACACTCGCATTAGATGGAACAGTGAATGGAAGCCACATGTGATCTGATGGTTTACATGTTTAACAGAGATGCTGTGAAGACGGGATGTTAACCGATACATATGGGGATAGTGCCCTTCATGGAATCATGACATGAAAGAGTATTGCGATATAATCGGCTGTTGAGTTCACATGGCATCTTAAAATGATTTCATTCTCTATTCCTTATACAGTATCACATGTTTGTACACATATTGCCACGCTGAGCTAAACGGCTACATAGTATAAACAAATGGAGTACAGAGAGAGTATACACAAAAATACACAAATCTCGTTTTTGTTTCTGTTCTGCTGCCAGTTTCACGCTGTTCTGATGATTAACAGTTGGTGGCAGTAATGCGCCAGTAAACATAGCAATGTGCTAACAAAGATGTTAAAGAAGACCATAAGCGAGGAAACTAAAAGCGAGCCTTTTTATTATTGTCACAATGTTTTATTATTGTCACAATGTTTTCAACCCTATTCAGATCTCCTGTCTGACTGCACTGTAGCTCCTTACCTGCTTTTCCACTCTGTAACAGCACACACTCACATTGCCGTTTGTCTTTCTTTGGCCCATGTGGCTGGTGAATCTGCTGTCTAGGGTCACTCAGCAGGCAGCCTGGCCGCAGGGCTCTGATCGAGGTCCTTTTACTCTTGTGTTGACTGTAGTGAGCTGAAAACGGTGCAGAACAGTGTGCTGTAATTTCCCCTAATGCCATTGGTTTGACGGCCTGCTTCCTTTTCTCCTGTTCATTATCTCTGTAGCAGCAGTCCACTCAGGTTTGATGTTGTAAACCTGATTTGTTACCAATTTCCTCCTGCTTACCATTCTCGACACCGTGTATTTTCTATTTCTTTGTGCTCCTTTTGCAAAATATGATACTGCACCGTCAGCTGCCGTTAATGTCCCGTCAGCTCACTCACCCTAACCTGCTACTGCAGAACGTGTTTGACACGTCGCTTCATTGTCTTGTTTATTTGACTGTCTGTCAGAAGCTGATGTTTATGCATGTCTCTGCAGTCTCAGCCGGGAAAGCAGCATGGCCTCCAGACAAAACACAGAGACTGAGCCTCAGGAGCCCCAGGATGCCGCACCCACAGAAAACAACACGGCAAACTGCACCAACAGTCAAACATCGAATGCCACCGCACCCAACGGACAGGACAAAGCCATGGAACAGCAGCTCCTTAAACGCACCTCAGCCGCCTCCAGGATATCCAGCCCGCCCCAGGTGACTCTGGACCCGGCTTTGGATCCCTCCTCGCTGCCACCGCCAGATCCCAGCCTGGAGTCGGGAAACTGCAGCGCCCACGGAGATGCTATTCAGCCCGGCACGCCAGCTTGCCTCCGAGACGGTAACTGGTTTATGAAGCTGCTGCAGGCTGAGACCGGGCGCATGGAGGGCTGGTGTCAACAGATGGAGCAGGAGACCAAAGACAACAAGCTGTCAGAGGAGGGTAAGTGATGTGATTGCATGAAATGGTAATCAAAACATTAAGACCCCATTCAAACATGTCATGGAAGGAGTCTTGTACCTAGATAAGATTTCGGACACTTATGCACATACAGTATAATCAGCTGTCCCGGGTCTCATGCGAATCAGGGTTGCTTTGTTACTTTGGGTCTTAGTGTTCCTGCAACCTGATTATTTATAAAGCACTGTTCTAGATCAGACGTCAGAAAGTGCTTCACAATACAAGAGAAAGAAGTACCGTTAACGGCTTGTCAACTCTGTAACATAAAGAATTGAATTGATGTCCCAGTTCTAAAGACGTGGATGAGGTCGGGCCTTGTTGACCGAGGACAATGAAACGCAGCACGACGCGGTCATCACTCCCATTCACTCACAGCGACGCTGCTCATTGGAGGGAGAGTACTCTTTGTTTTAGCTGTAACAGAGCAACTGCGGAGTCATTTCACTTCTTCATCTCCCAGAATACCACTCAGGCTGTTGGGCAGATTCATCTCTGCAGTGTCTTAAATATGAATGAGCAAGGAGCAGGCTAGAAGTAGAGGCTCCATCAGATCATCGCTCCCTGTGGACCTGAATTATGAATTACCATTTACATGCAAAGGGAGGAAAATAGCTGAATAAAGAGTAATTTGTTATCCTCCCTAAGATTGCGTCAATATATTCCCCCTAAGAAAATCATTTACTGTCAAAGAATGTTAATTGGTAAATGTAAAGATATGTCATTGCCGGACAACATCAATAAACTCTACATACTCACTCCGTCCTATGTCTTGAACCTTTTATACACTGTCTCTGGATCTCAAAGTAGCTGCCTTTTCATGTCCTTTTTGTCTCATTACATTTTTTTTTTTTTTTTTTAGCTGTTTCAATGACCTCTCCACAACTCGTTGATGATTTATCATAATCTTCTCTTTTGTAGTGTTGGGCACGATCCGCAGTGCAGTAGGCAGCGCTCAGCTCCTCATGACAAAGAAGTTTGAGCAGTTCAGAGGGCTCTGTAATGAGAACTTGGTGAGTGGCTTCATTACATCCTATTGAATCTCTCTTGATGCGCTTCTTCCTGCATGTTTTTGTTGGCCTCTCAAACTTACTTACCGACCCAGTTTTCTTTCATCTTTCTCTCTCCAACATCATTTATCTTCCCATTACTTTACATTTGGAGAGAAAACGATCTTTTCAGGCAGAAACGTGGAATCCTTGAGAGTTTATCTCATCAGATTTACTGTGATAGATTTGGTTTCTCTTGTCTTACTTGTCCCGCTGTCCCTTCCTGCCAGATTTTCTCTGTTACTGCTCCAATAGTGTTGAAATGTAATCATCTCTGAAAGTTTATTCGTGTCAAATGTATTTCTCTTCATCAATTTGCTTAAAAGGGAGGCTGCCCAGGAGATGTGCGTGTATGTGTGTGGTGGAGGAATGTGATTAATTCTCTCTGATTTGACTTGAGCCATTCATCTAACACTTCTCTCCACGGTCTCGTTTTCCTCTCACTAGGACGTCAGTGCCAACCCACGACCAACAGCACAGGACCTCGCAGGATTCTGGGATCTGCTACAACTCTCAATAGAAGACATCAGCATGAAGTTTGACGAGCTCTACCAACTGAAAGCCAACAAATGGCAACTTCCTGAGAAATCAGAGAAGGTGATGTTTGCTGACAGTTTTTTAGATTAGAGCAGCAACTTGAGTTATTTTTATTATCTTTGTTATTAATCATTCAACCGAAAGTAAAACTGTTTGTAATTTTTTAAGCAAAATAATTCTCTCTATGTAATTTGTAAATTGTCATTTTAAGCTTAAATTTGGCTGTTGGAGATTAAAATTAATAAATTAAATTGACAAAGCGAGTAATTGATTAATTGAGAAAATAATCAGCAGATTTATAAGTAATGAAAACATTAAAAAAACATTTTGCGTTAACTTAATAAATGCCTAATGGCTTACAAATAAGGAGTTAATTAACAACAATGGAGGTTGTGGTTTCAACTGCACCTTATTCCTTTTCCTCCTCGACTTCCTTTCCTCAGGATGAAAACAAGCAGCTTCCCTCTGTGCCAAAGAAGCAGACTAAGCCCAGGCTGTCGGCAGGGAAGGACAGGAGCGTGGACTCCGTCGTGGACAAACAGCGGCAGGAAGCCAGGAAGCGTTTGATGGCAGCAAAGCGCGCGGCGTCAGTGCGGCAAAACTCCGCCACGGAAAGCGCCGACAGCATCGAAATCTACGTCCCCGAGGCCCAAACCCGCCTCTGATGAGAGTGAACCAGCAACCGATCATCGAGACAAATCCGGACTCCCTTCAGACATTCATTGACACAAACACACAGACAGATATGAGACGAACACGCAAATGTACAACGGATGCACAGAGGCCGACACCCCCCCCCCCCCAATAGTGGCACAGCGGAGAGGACAGGAGGAACGTGGGGATCACAATCCAGAATAACGCAGATAATCACGGCTGCCATTGGACAGAAATATCCTTGACATTTGTTTAATACTATTGTTATTATAATAATAATTATCTCCTAAAGTATATCAGGACTGTCTTAAATGTGCAAGTATCTCGGATAAGGACATCCTGTACCTTGTGAGCTGAAGAATCTTGGTATCCCAGAAGTTTACTCTCTTAAAAACTCCCCTCACCGCTGAGTCTACCGGCAAGTTGTGGCTGCCTGGTTTACGAGCTGAGCTACCATCCACACACACACACACTCAGGACACACATGCAGGTGCACTCGCTGTCCACAGAGTCTTCCTGTTCTCTATTTGTATTAGGCTGCCACTCGTCGGGCGCGGCGTGTACGCTTCACTGCGTACAAACTCCCAAGATGGTGTCGATGTACTCAGAGGTTTAAAAAAATGCAGAGAACCAGAGGAAGGCAGTAGCATATATATTATAAATATCACACTATTGCGATGTTCATTTTGTAAATGTTGTATACCAGATTATTTGTTAGAAAGAGGTCAGTGTTCAGTACCAAGGTAGTTTTTTATAGATCGAGTACATGTACTGTCATGATGTATTAGCACTTGATGCAATCATTCACTCCACCTCTTTCTCTTCCTCTCCTTTTCACAAGCGCACACTACACAGTCTGTGTCTGTGGGCATCCATTGTTAAAGTCTTACAGTTTTGTTTTTGTGACGGGATGTGAGGATTGACTGCCCTGCCAGTGAGCTACAGAGGAATGCATGAAGTTGTATGCATTTTACAGCTCGTGTCGACTTGATCACTGCACTTTCCATTCACCTCAGATCAAGTTTGCTCACCTTCGTTTGCCTGACCATCCTGACTTTCACTGCATCCTCCAGTGATGTAGGGGGACCAAGACACTCACCACTCGAAATGGCATTCAACCAGTCAATCAACCAGACTACGTGTGATGGGGTGGGGGTTTACGTGCCACTTGAAAGGAAATGGAATAGCATAGCAATAATAAAAATCGTATTAGAGTGAGCAGAGCAGTAGGTACCCAGTCTTCAATTATTTAATTCAACATTTCCAATAAGACTTTCTTAGTGTGATGAAGGATGAATGTTTATTTCTTTTATTGACCGACTGCCCTTGAAATGATTAAAATCTCAGGTTGGGCATGAACTTGACGGTAAAAACCACTATGGATGGATTATTTATTACATAACCACAAATTAGCTGGCCGAATGCTTCAGAGCCATTGACTAATATTTTAAATCCAGACGTACTCGGTGCTCTTCGGTGAGAAAAATCATGTTTGTTGCAGAAATGTGCAGGCTTAATAAGATGGCTGATATCAGCGGTCTCTTTCGCTGACCTTTCTAGCAGCTTGAACTCCCACCCCTGCTTGTTGAGAATGAACTGTGGTACATTTCTTTTTTTAAAATTTGAATGTCATTTGACACGTTTTGTGACCGTCATCCGAAACGAGGTCGACCTAAACATGTCTTGATTTCTGTAATTATAAGTAATGGTGCTGCGAGAGGCTTCATATTGTGCCAAGACGGCAATGATCATCGTTTCAGCGTCATTTGATAAAGCTTCTATTTAAATTTTTTTAATTTAATCTGCTTATGAATTCTACCTGTCTGTACGTGTGCATTCTCGGCCAACTTTGTTTGTGTTTGCATCCGCTTTGCCTCGTCTCTGACTTAACTCATGACTTTTTGAGTACAGGACTGGAATATTTTCCATGTTTCAGTTTTCTCAAAAGGAAACGAGTGCCAAAGGGTTCATGAGTGGAACTGGGCATCGCATACTCATGCACAAGTGCAGGTTGTGACTCACTAGTTTTTTTTTTTTTATTTAAGAGCTGGCTCTCCCCCTACTGGTCAGTCCTTGCGTGACACTCCAGACATCTTGTTCTGCTCCATTTTGAATCTTTTAGTTGACATCACACAAGAAATGACGTTGAACTGGGAATGCTGACACAACACCGTGTTGTTGATTTTCTTATTCTCTTGTTTGTATTACATCAACAATGGACATGTGCAATTCATTGTCCAAAGAAACCATTAAACATCCCTTTGCTACATGTCCTGGTCATCATTCTTGCTATTGTTTTTATTTTTTTTGAAGCACTCATCCATAATGCAATGGTAATATTAGCCGCTGAGTTAATATTACACACAAATGATATCATACGCGTTAGGTTAGACATTTTATTGTTGCTGTATAATCTCTAAAAGCATGGCCTTCTTACATTTAGAAATATACAAAGATCCTTGCCAATGAATTGTCAGCACTCCTTTAAATAGGTCTAGCAAATGATCTGAAACTATTCAATCTGTTTAAGGCATTCAGGGTATGTACTGTACGTAGGAGGTTATAACTGGCTGACTAATGGTGGAAAGTCCTCTCCTTTTTCATATCATTTGAGAGCCGGATCCCTTTATTTGCCCACATTACTGAACTTTAAGAGAGCATGACCTGATCAGGGATCTTCAGACAGTTTGTTTACCACTACTTCCTGAGTTTCAAAGGGCTACAAAATGGACAAACGATGACCAGAAGTTGCAATTCTTGAGGCAGATTATGTGGATGTGCTGTTCAACCTTGCGGACGAGGCAATATTCTCTGGTTAAGTGATTTCTAGGATTCATCTAGAAATATCTTTGTGTTTGCTTGATGGACAGAAACGCGCTGAGAATTATAACCCCATTCTGACTTCAGCACTCGCCCTCTCTCTCTCTCTCTCTCTCTCTCTCTCTCTCTCTCTCTCTCTCTCTGCATCTGTCCTCTCAGAGATCCAGCTAGGAAAATAAGCAAAAACTATGTAGATCCAGATTATCTTCTACTGATGAACATTATTTTACAAAACAAGCACATATCTTACAGGCGAAGGGTTGTTTAATGTTATGGTGTATTAGTTAGACACTGTGAGGATAGTTTCTTTTCAGAGAATAAAGAATTGTGATTGCAATGAGTTACGTGGCATATTTTCTGTATGAAATAATCTGTACAATTAAAGAAGAATGCCACTTAATTTGGGAATGCATGTATGTTTTTCCTCTTATATGTTTAAACTAATCACCTCAATTCTATTAATTGTTATTGGATCTGGAGCACAGAAATAGTGTCCAGAAAACCTCTCTTTATGATCCCAAAGCCGTGTCATTGTGTTATAACTTACAATAAAACAAGGGTCAGCAAAACACCTTAATTTGGTCCACCTTAGTAAGAGGTCATACACGTTATACTCTTTGTAGTAATGACAGCAATATAACTACCTAGATATATGCACCATGTGATCAAAGGTATGTGGACACTGCCGTCCACACTGTACTTTGACTAGTTTGGGGATGTTTGTCTAGATATTTTAGCTTTAATTAAGTGAGATCTTAAAGGTGCAAGATCCGAGATTGGGAGCATATCTGGCACTATGCAACCTACTGCTCTGCTCCTACCTACAGTAGGATGGGTTAAATGAAGAGGTCAAATTTAATGTATTTATCTGAATGTACCTGCATGTGTATGACGATTGAAATTAAGTTTTAAAAACGTGCTCAATACTTCTTCCAATTATAACGTGTCAAAACTATATACTAATTCTATATGCTACATTTATTTGTGTAATTCAAAATTTCCAAAGTATTCAAGAGGAGCTGTCTTTTCAATATTTTATTTTGGAAAGCCCAACCGGAAGCTGCTCGGGTGACAGCATGGTTGACATCTGTGAACTTCCGGTAGACACCGAGGAGGAGGAGCTTAAAACATCCGCGAAGAAGAAGAAGAAGGAGCCGTCCGGTGACGGTGGAAGCCAACTGCCAGCAGCATTGTAACAAAAGAAAAATAAGCAAATATTACTCGGCAGCTCGTTTGTGGTAAGTTTAAACATTTAGAGTTTTCGTCCCCGTTTCGCTGCAACGTTTTGTTTCGTCTTTTTAAACAACATAAAAGCGGAGGTGATGAAGTTGACCGCAGTGCACGTTAGGTACAGTGTGAAGACAGCTCTACTGCATGTGATGTCACGTATTTACCAAATTATACCCAGCTTGTACACGAACCAGTTTACTCATCGTACTGCTGGTAGTATCAGGGCAGGAGGAGAGTACATGAATGTAGGTGTTACAACTACCAGAATAACTTAATTAAATAACAACAATGACAACTCTGGTCGATTCCCACGTGAGCTAAAAGCCTACAATGCCAACAATGTCAATAATTCACTAGCTCGACCACTTTCATTGTGGATATTTGTTTGGGCTTTCAGGGAATTGTGATTTTCCCACATTTTATGGATCAAATAGTTTTACAAAATAACAGATAAATCGTTAAGGAATATTATGTTTCAGCACTTAATCCAGAGAGCAGGCAGTTCTTCACATTTGCAAAGCTGTCACCAGCTAATTCTTTGCTAGAGTATCAAAATTGGAAGAGGTGAACTTGTCTTGTCTCTGGATAAATTAATGTAATAATAGACTAGTGATTGAAGCGCTGGTGAGTTCCTCTTCAGCATCCTTTTAACATATGACAGCATTATCACCCAACACTGTCGTCAGGCAGCGTTTGATATGATACAGCAAAGTCCTGTCCTCAACAGAGAGATGCTGACCTCATCCGAACAGTGACCAGAGCTCGCCGTCCCCAGACCAGCCGAGACAGGACCGCAGGACACCGACCAGACCGATCATGGCCGGCAGGCAGGGGAGACCTGCAGCTGCTCCCGACGGCTCAGCAGAGGCCAAAAGGACGGACCTCAGAGCCAATGAGAAGAAGTGCTGTGAGTGGTCTGTTTCTGTTGACGCATTACCTGAGGCCTGTTCTGTATTAATGCCCCTTACAGTATTTAATCTAACGTACTCTCAGCAGGCTGTGTAAATTATGAACTTTTTAAAATCACGTTTCCTGCTCTGTTGGCCACGAGTAAAGAGAGGTGATAAGGTCTCAGCAGGCACTGATTGTTAAATGTCAACTTTGATGCACCTTTTGACATTATTGGTATGTATACAGTGTGTGGGTGTATTCATACTGTTCCTTTTGAAGCACAGCAACACTGCAATGAGCAAAGTCGACATTCAGATTCAGCTGGTAAAAATGTCACTAAGCTCGGCTTCATATTAGCTTCAGACTTTGATGAATCTTTAACCGGGGAAGTGAAATGTTCATATATATATATAATACAGAACTATTCTGCCTGCTCCACGCTTGTAGACATCTGTTCGTACAATCTAGAGGCAAGTCTAGTCTCGCCACGTCTTTGTTTTGATAGATTCGTTTCCCCTGAGCTGAGGATGTTCTGTTGTGGACACTGAAAGAAAACCGTTAGAAGTATTTTCCATTTCGTGTCCCAGTCCTCAAGGTTACACTGGATTACTAAACCGGGTCGCTAAGCGGCCGGACTTTGAGAAACATTAACCAGCAGTCAAGAGACGACGATGGTATGACAGAAATGTTAAACTAAGCAGGTAGATGAACACGGCAGGGGTGACATTGGATTATTTCACAACCTTCCCTCTCCTTGCTGCCAGTGTGTACTGCACATCAGTGTGTATACAATATGCATATCGGCCCTATTATTGTTATGAATGGGACATTTCAGGGGCAAGTCTAAAGTAACGATGAGGGCCAATGTTAAACAGTTTATACCCTTGAATGCTTAATAACGTGTGTGTGTGTGTGTGTGTGTGTGTGTGTGTGTGTGTGTGTGTGTG